ACTTGCTAATTGATATCAGAAATTAAGTGTATTTTTTTTTTTTTTTTAATTTTTTTAAGTGTATGTTAAGTAGTCTCTCTACAGGTATTTCATGCTTGATTTAAATGTCAATTTTCTATTTAGGCAGTCAGTACACTTAGGGTAAAAGAAGATATCATTCTTTTTCCTTTTTATGGAATTCAAACTTTGTGTTTTGTCATGTATCTGTGATTGATATATATATATATATATATCCAGCTATCTCGCTATCTGTCTATAAAGTTGTTTTCTTCCAGTTTATTTTGTTAGTATCTTCATTTTTTTTTTTTTTTTTTGTGGTGCTGGGGATTGAACCCAGGGCTTTGTGCATGTGAGGCAAGCACTCTACCAACTGAGCTATATCCCCAGCCCTTCATTTTATTTTTAAAGGTGTTTTCTGCATCATGAATAAGTGCTTTTGCCTCTTTGACCACTTATTTTCTCTTTAAATTTTTAATTTGCATTTTGGTAAAATGTTTTTATTCCAAAACTCAGGTAATTAAAAAACAATTAACAAGTGTTGACTTTTAAGAAATTTATTAGTCTCTTTCTATCCAATTTTATGAATAAAACATGGCATTTTGGGGAGATAGCAAAATGATCTGCCTTCCCACCAGTCTGGCTGAAAGTAGACATTGTACATTGCCATCATGCCTATAAGGTCTCCTGCTTTGTGGGGTAATACAGATTAAAAATCTTTATTGCAGTTGAGTTGCACAACATTAGACTGGGAATACTATTTTAACTTTACCACATTTTGTGTAAGGTAGCAATTGATCTCTACTTTCCATTTCAGTAACTAGGTACTCTAACATGTCACTTTATTGTTAGGATTAACTAATAGGTTTTCCATTAAGAATGAGTGGGTTTATAGGCCATGTGTTTTTAGTAGGTGAAATTGTTTAACATGCTGTTATTAGTTTTCTGATTTATATTAGAAGTCCTTTAAGTTAATCTCAATACTAACCATTCTTTCAGTGTTTTCAGAGATTTTCATCTAGAGCCTTTGGAACTTTGGAGTATTTGAAGGAGAAAGTTGTTTTTATTATTATAGTGAGTAAACAAGCATGAGGAAGACAGTTTAGGTTATTTTGAATCTGATGTGCCCTTTTTTGAGTGTGAAATAGTAAGCTGTAACTGTTAATGGTTTCATAGAATTGTATTTGGAAAATTTGGAAGCCAAGAAAGATTGAAAAATTAAACTTTAATATCTTTTGGGTTGTGACATTTAACATTATTGAATTGAAATAGACTAACAAAGAATTTCAAGGCAGTACCCCTTATTAATGAACTGTTAGTATCAATTTCCTGTCACATTTCTACTTTACTTCAGTACATCTTAAAATTTAAAAAATTTGTTCAATAAATTTGGAATTCTGTATTATAGTGTAGAAATATAATTTTAAATGTTTGTAACTCATCTATGATTGTCTTATTGTTATCTATAGAGGTAAATGTGGCAGTCATTCAATAACATGAAATGAAGCATTATTTTCAAAGTGCCGAGGAACCTGCTACTATTTTCTTTAGTAATTCACTTATTTTTCAGTAACAATTTATATGTATGGTGTTTTGTATCCTATCTAATATATTTATTATTTATGAATATTGAAAGCATCACAGATATGGTATGCAATAGTTTATTTTTATTTATATTTTTGCAATGCTGGAGATGGATGTTAGCCAACCACTCTGTACCAATTAGCTAGAAAACCAGACTGCAATATTTTATTTTAAAATTTAAACTTTATTTTAATCTTTTTTGTCTGTGGCTGCTGCCACAATTATAAATTAAAGTTATTTTTTATGGTATTCTTGTTTGTGATTCAGGAGTGATTTTTTAAATAGATCTTCAAAGAGACAATTTCTTATGTAAAGTTACCTCATGGTTTGAATTTAGGTTTAGTGTATGTGTTGTGAAAAAAGGAAAGGTGGTAGGAAAAAGAAAAGTAAAGAAAGACCCCTAGTGGCTTATATTCTTTTTCTTTCTATTCCTTATTGAAAACTCTTAACTTTTAGGATTTTTGTATCTATCTTTTCATACAGATCCATTGTATTGTTATTATTTTGGATTATTCAAAGTTTGCCTTTAAATTTTTTTGCACATTGCCAGTATTTGAAAATAGGATTGTGAGAGTTTAGGCCCAGTGTTCATCTACATGATCAGCCTGTATCATTCTTGCCTTAGGCCTCATCTCTATCCACTGTGTCCGTTTTCCAGGTTTTATCACTTTTCTTTTTTCTTTGGTTTGAAGTAATTTATGTGACCACCTGTTCTTTCTATTTTGGAGTTCTTTTTCTAATGTAAAGCTAAATAGTTTGTGACATAAAAAGTTCTTATTCAGCTTCTATAGCAGGTTTACTGTTTTGCTCATGAGGAGTAACTGTAGGCTCAAACTTGGATGGTGATTATAATTCTAAGCCATTTTCAGTAAAAGTGTCATGTCACTGTTTATAGCAACTGCCCTTCCTTAAACAGCAGAGGCCTCAAATCTTTCAGCTGTGGCCTAAATTTAGAAAAGCCCTGTTTGTGGATGAGTGGGGTCCTTATTTCAGTCTCATCCAGGGTAATATTAATTTCTCTTTAAAAAGGAAACTGCTTTCCTGCTTAATTAGTTAGTGTACTAAGTTTTGTTGATTGTAGTAGTGGTAGTTCAGTTTATTTGTTTTGTTTTTGCTTTTTGGTTCACCGTATGAATGAAGAACTAGGGATGATTTAATTATTTGCAAATAATAAGTACAATATTCTGGTTACTTCATAAAGTTCTGGATTATTGAACAAACAATGAAAATATTGTAAAGGTATTGTTAGATAATAATTGAGAAGAATTTTCTGGCATAACAGGTTATTAAAACATTCTCTAAGATTTCAGAAACAAATATGCTTGCGTGATCTTTTTTCATAGTATTTTCTAAAAGTAAGATTATTTGTTTAGTTAAAATATTTTAAAATATTTAAAATACTGTGTAAGATGAATGATAACCCCTCTACTCTCTCTTTAACTGTTAATCCTTATTTGGGATTAAAAATATTCTAGCAGCCCTTTTAATAAAAAGTAGTTGGACATTTATATTTGTTTTAAAACTACTAATTATTATAGATCATGTTTGTATTTCATTTTTTTTAGTATTTGGTCCTATTGCAGCATTTTTGATAAAATGATTTAAATATAAAATGTTATTTACTCTTAATTCACAGAAGACATTTCACTATTCTCAGAAATATTTGAAATATTGTAGGAGTAAAAAAGCAGTTTGATTCCCCTCTTCCCCCTTATTATTTTTAAATGTTAATCTTTTTAAATATATATATATATGTTAGTTGTAGTTGGACACAATCTTTATTTTATTTATTTATTTTTATGTGGTGCTGAGGATCGAACCCAGTACCTCGCACATGCTAGGCGAGTGCTCTACTGCTGAGCCCCAGCCCCAGCCCCAGCCCCATTAATCTTGGAATTAAGAGTTTGCAAGGAGCTGTGAGGGCATAGCTGAGTGGTAGAGTTTATGCTTAATGTGTGTGAAGTCTTGCATTTGGTTCCCCAAACCACAAAAAAAAGAATTTGCTAATTAGTATTTTGATAGAAGTTTGGTAATTGTGCTTCTTTATTAATTATTTGAGATGGAGTGTATGTATAAACAAGATATATTGTATGATTATATACTTATTCATAGAAATGTCATATTTTAATCATTTCTTAAGATAAATTATCAAAATTCTAGGAATTCATGTAAGAAAGGAGAATTTTAAACTGTTTATTAGGTTCTTTGGGAATTCTAATTTTATTTTAAGTTGGAAATGGCTTATTTTTGTTTTATTGAAAATTATTGATAATTATTGACAGTAAATGTTAGGGGTGTTATGAAAGTAATGTATAGTCTTAAAACTAAATTTTTGAAATTGAAAGAAGAACAATTGCTTATAATTTATTGTTAGATTTTAGTTTTATCTTTTTATTACCAGGAATACATACACAAATAATTAAATTTTGCTATAAATGAAGAAATTATAATTTATATGAAACATATATTTTTGTTACTTACCTTGAAGCATTATTGTCATTTTAATATGGGAAAACTGAAGTATCTAGAGTAAATTTTCTCTTTTACACTATATTTCTGGCTGTGTGGGGTTTTTTTTTTTTTTTTTTAATTATGCAGTTTAAGAATGATGTCTAAAAAACTTTTCTTTTCTTCATAGCCTCTGGAATTGCTTTGGCACTCATTAGATGAATGGCTAGTTTTAATAGCTACAGAATTGATGAAAAACAAAAAGGACTCAACAGATATCACTTCTATTTTACTGAAACAAAAAGGCCAAGATCAAGATGCCACTTCCATTCCACCATTTGAACCTGGGAGCTATGAAAATCTATCCACTGGCACAGGGGAATCTAAACCAGATGCTCTTGCAGGGAAACAGGAAGCCAATGCAGATTGTCAGGATGTTATTTCTATGACAGCCAACCGGCTAAGTGCTGTCATTCAAGCTTTTTACATGTGCTGTTCTTGTCAGATGCCTCCAGGGTAAGAAGGTTTCAGCTTATTATTTTTTGCTCTCATAAGTGAAGAAGAGATATGATATTTTTGTAATTTCAATAACAAGAAGTAATTATTGATGTTTAAAGATCCTATTCTAATCTTGTTTTAGAGTACTCATTGTACTAATCTGATTCTAGTACAAAATTTCTTTGTAGAATGGAGAATGTCATTTTATATAGGATATCTTAATTATATGTTTGAAATTCATAGAGCAGAGATGCTCATACTTTCAAGATTTTTAAAAAAGTTACTTGTTTATGTCATCTGTTATTGAGAAGTTTTATATATTATATATATATATATATATATATATATATATATATATATATATATACACACACACATATATGTGTGTGTGTGTATATCTATACATACATACATACTATTTCATTCTACGTATTGACTAGGCATGCCTTAATTTTCTGAATTTATAAAGAAGATCCAAACCCAAGTTCTTTCTTATGGTCTACAAGCCTGTCCAGTTCAATACATATTTATCAGATTTTCTGTATCTTATCACCAGTGTTTGTCTATGTATTCTGATTTTTGCCTAATCCCCACAGAATGACTTCACCCCGTTTTATTGAATTTGTCTGCAAACATGATGAAGTTTTAAAATGTTTTGTTAACAGGTAAGGGTTTCTGAGATTTCATGGATTGTCTTGGCACTCTTTCTTTTTAAGTTTGGTTTCTTCCAAATAGAAAAAAATGCTATTTCTGTTTCCATTCAAAATGTATTCAATAACAATTCAAAATGCAGTAGGAGAGGATTAATATATTTTTCTTTTATTTCAGTTATCTATATATCTGAATTTGCATTTCATTTAATGGTATTTGTATTTCTTGTCCATTTAACAAAATATATTTTTCTTTTAGAAATCCTAAAATTATTTTTGACCACTTTCACTTTCTCCTTGAATGTCCTGAGTTGATGTCAAGATTCATGCATATCATAAAAGCACAGGTAGAAATTTTCTTCATCTTGTTTTTAGTCTTAGTAATGAAATAAATTTTTAAAATTCAAATATTATTGAGTGTGGTCAGCATTATACTTAAAACCTCCTATAAGTAAGAGGGATGGAATTACATGTTGCTTTAATATGAGGAATAAATTTTCTTCTTGAAGAAATGTGTATTGAGTGCCTACTATGTGCAAATGCCCGTGCAAAGACTACAGAATACATTACTACATTTCCTGAAGTGAGTTTCATGAATCAATAGTCCTGTGTCGTGGATGGTCTTTGAGAAAAGGATTTTATCCCCAAATACATTTGGGAAATAGACTTATGTCCTGTGGAAATATGTAAAGTACATGAGTAGCATGTTAAAAGGCTTTGAGAAAATCTTTGGATAAAAATAGTGATTTAACATTGCTAATCTTTCTAAACTTACTTGACCTGACAGTCTTTCCCCTTATGAAGATTGTACCTATTTATTCCATATATCTCATGTTTTGTGAAAAAATGCTAGGGAAAAACTTGTTTTTCTTCTAACCAGTTATATGACTTTGGGCACATTTCTTTACATCTTTGACCCTTGATTTCTTCATCTATAAAAGATAATGAACCAACTTTGTAGGACTGTTGTGAAGAGTAACTTGTGAAGAAGAGTGCTTGGTATATATGCTTAATAAATGGTAGTTGATTTGGAGATAGAAATCACATTTCTCCAAGAGGATCCGAATTCAATCTAGCAGGGAAGGTAATATATATACCTATAAGTCAGTAGTTATGTATCACCTGGTTTTTCAGGAATTTAAGGAAGGAAGAACTTGCTTTTGGTTGCTCTGTGAAAGGAAATTTCAAAAAGGAGGTAGATTTTAAATGACTTTGAAAAGCTTGAGAAATGTGCAGTATTTTGATGGGAGTAAAGAGGAGGACAAATATTCTAGCCAAAATATGGGCTGGCACATGCAGGTGGAAATTTCAGTTAGGTGGAAGTACCTGGAAAGGTAGAATAGGTTCATATTGGAATATTGTATTGAGCCTTGATTGCCAGATTGCAGAATCTTCTTTGTTTGCTAGACTGTTTGGAAGCTTCAGGAGAATAACAAATCTTGGCAACATTTTAGAAAATCATTTTAGAAAATAATTTATCAGATGTAAAGGATAGAATGGAGGCTGTGATTTCATTAGTAGTCATGAGATAATAAATACCATAAGGTTTTTAATGTCTTTAGGAACACGAACCCTTTCAGAAGTTAAAAGAGCTAAGAATTCATTTTTATAAAATTATACAGATGTACATAGGGATCTTTTGATTCCTGTTTAATAATGATTATGTAAAAGAAGGCAATGGTAATAACTTATGCTTATTGAATGCTAATTATAGGTTTAGTACCATGTATTTGCTTTACATTAATTATTTAATTCTCCGAACAATCAGCTGCTTTTACTGAATTGAAGGGGTTAAATGACATGTTTAAGCCATTCAGCTATTAAGTGTAAGAAATAGGATTTAAAAGTCTATCTGGTTCTTATGTTTATTTTTGTTGTGGTGGTGGCAGTGATGCTGGGTTTTAAAGCCAGGGCCTCTCACTTGCAAGGTAAACTCTAACACTGAGCTGCATCACCAATGTCTTAAATCCATATTTTCTCTCTCTCTCTTTTTCTTTCTTTGTGTGTGTTTCTGTGCATATGTGTTTGTTTCTAGGGATTGAACCCAGGGCCTTGTGCATGCTAGGCAAGTACACTACCACTGAGCTATATCACTGGCCCCTCAAGTTCATTTTGTTGACCTGTACTATATGGCTATCTACTAGGGCAAATGAGATACTAGGTAAAAGAAGCTTTTAGTTGTTGAAAAAGATATAATTTGCTATTTTTAATACTATTTCTGTTTTTCATTTTTCCCCTTTCCCAAACAGTTTAGTTGAAAAGCATCTGCATTAGATATCTGTCCTTTTGACCAAGTGAGAGAGTTTTGTTAACTTACCAGGATGAAGAATATTCACATGCATCCTGCTGGCCTTTGGAGTTTGGGTGTGGTAAAGAGGTATCTGTTTAGAAGAGGGCTCATGATGAGATAGATGAATTGGAGTGGCGTAAGGAGGAGATCCATGTGGAAGATGGTGGCAGCTTCTCATAGTTACTTGACAGAGCCTCAGTGGGGTGGTGAGCATTCTACAGTGAAGGGGTCATGTCAACAATAGGAAGTTGGTTATATATGGGAGGTGGAGAGGAGGTGAGTGTTGATCAGATAAGTATGGGAGCCTAATGTTGGAGAAAGGAGTTACAAAATGGAGGAAACTAGAACAAATTCTGTGTTATTAAATTTGAATTAACAGATATCAGTGTGAACAGAGTTTTCATTCTTTAAGATATAGCAAACTTGGCATATAGCTCTTGGTCTTTAAATAACGTTCTAAATGAAGCAGGGCCCATTGGAGAAATGGTGAATTCCAAGGTCAGGTTATGGAAAAGTACAAGATGAAACTGTAACATTTTCTTGTGCAGGAAAGTAAAGATGTGTTCAAAGAATCATGGAATTATGTCAAAATGACTCAGAATCCAGTTTGAAATGGATTCCTATTGGCCAAATTTGAAACAATTGGAATATCAAAATAAGTAATGATAATAGCATATTATAAATAAGATAGGAATTCATGTATCTATACTGGAAAAATTAATGAGTGAATTTGGAAAGTTCTATAAGGGGTGGGTATTTATAGTCTCAAAATATCTCCTCACAGACTACTTATTACAAAGAGAAAATGGGAGCTTTACAGTGGAGAAGCTTTGCAGTAATCAGAGCAGACATAGAAGTGTGCCAGCTAATAGGATACACTAAGAAGAACATGGCCTCACTTCTGTGATGTTTTTGCTAAAGATGCATACCCTAAATCTAAGTATGAGGAAGCATTAAGCTAACTCTGATAACAGGGATGTGCTACAAAATTAAGTGAACTGCAATCTTTAAAAGTGTCAAGGTTATGAAAATTAAGAAAACATTGAATAACTGTAACCAGAGTGAAGGAGATAGAGAAACAGGATAATTAAATGTAGTTCATGAATCATTATGCTCATAAAGGATATCTTTGGGAAATTGTCAAAACCTGAAATGGGGTCTGGGAATTGGATACAGTAGTGTACCAGTGTTCCTGATTTTTAATAGTTGTTAACTGGTTATGTAGGATAATTTCTTTGTAGGAAATATATATAGAAAGTATTTATGGGTGTACTGGGCAGCATGTTGGCAACTTACTCTCACATCAAAAAAAAAGTGTTCTGTACTCAGAAATTTTTTGTAACTTGGAGACTGTTTCTTCCAAACAAGTTGAAGACCAGCTATTTCTGAAGGATTGACTTCTTCTTCTGTTGGTGGTTTTCAGGTGGCCAGTAGTTAAAGGGAGACACATTTTGTGTTGCTGTACAAATGCTATTAAGAGGAGCCTCTGTAATCAGTCCTGTTTTGTGAATTATATATGGAAATGCAGGTACTCAGAAAGTTTACATACAAAAATGTGCCTTTCAGCTTTGTAGAGCTGTGTATGTATATGTGTGACTGTGTGTGCACGCATGCGTGCACATGTGTATATTGGTCTTATAGATATCTTTATTAGATTTTGAAGGTAGCAATTGGTACCTTTTAATGTTCTATATGAATTACTTAAAAAATTGCATTTGTTTTTATTTCTTGGTTCACATTTTATAGATCCAAGACAGTTTAATATCTTAAAATGGCAAGTAAGCTTACTGTCATGTATTGTCATAATTATTGACAATTTTAACATTTATGGGAGTGGTAATAGACCATCATCTATTTATTGTTGTGGATGTTGAGTATTTCCACAAATTACTTAGCTTCTTAGTGCTACATATCTTTTGCTTCTGTAGATGGGGCTAAGTGTACCTTTTTTTCAGTGTTACGAGGGTTGCGTGTGATTAATGCACCTTAAGGTCTTGAAACAATACCTGGCTTATTGGTGCTTAAAAAGCATTAGCTAATTTGTGATTATAATTATGATTATTATGTTCTGTTGCATTATTTTTTAAATCCTCACAATAAATCCTTGAAGTAGGTATTATTTTATCTATTTTATGAGTAAGAAAACAAGTTGTGAGGGAATTAGTAATTTCCTTAGGATCACAAATTCAGTAAGTGACTGAGCCAGCATTTTAAACCATGCTTATGTGACTTTAAAGCTCATACTTAAATATGTTGCTTCAGTGTAAAGTTTTGTTTTCTCCTCTTTTACCAAAATTTTAGAAATAATTAGCATTGAAACTTCAAGTACGTTATATTCCAGTCTGTTTACTAAAAATTAAGTACTTAGATGCATACTATATGTGAAAGAGCAAATATTAAAAGATAGAAGTTAATCTCTCACCAGTTATCTAAACTAATAATATTGGTTATCTAAACTAATAATATTTTATTAAGAACTAATAAAAAGCGTTAAGTCTTTTAAAGCAAAACTAATATTTAGTTTAGCTCAACTAAAGAAGTTGACTGATAACCTAGAAACTTCCTGAAAGGTAACTTCTTTGTGGTATTGGGGGGTAGTATTGCTCATCCTTACCTTTTGAAACCTGTAGCTTCTGCGGTATTGTGCCACCTTGTTTATCCTTTAACTTTTTTAGTGGTGTGTGTTATTTGCTGAGCAAATTCTCAATCCTGACCTCGGATTGTAAATTTCTTTCTTCTTGGTGGTTATATTCTGTTCTCTTGAACAAGGTACCTTAGCTTGTTTCCAACTTCAGCTGGACTCTGTTTTCAGTGTTTCAAGTGTAGCAGAGTCAAGTATTTATTTCCAAACCCCTAATAGTTATATCCTACAATAAAATTAAATTCAGGATACATAAAACCTTGTTTATTGTTTTCCCATCAGTGCCTTCTAGGAGTGTGGCAATAAGTTGTGGGAGAAAGTTTCTTTCTCTCCAAGTAATATCTGTTAGTAAGTTCTATCTCTAGCGATCTTCTTTTACTTTTCATTTTTATTTAGAGGAGTAATGGCTCTTAGATTTACTTCATAGTTCCTCTTTCCTACCACTATGTGGACCTCATTATTTAGTAGCTGTTTTTATAACTTGTACTTGGATAATCTCCCTTTAAATTGGTGCCACACTCACTTTAATTACTGTATTATATTCTTCTAACCAATATACATAGTGGCTCCTGTATGTTTTACTGAATTCTCAGGATCCTTAATTATGTGCTCAGTTTACTTATACAAACATTTTTCTTTCAACATGTATAGAAGTAGAATTCTGTTTATACCAGTGCCTTCACTACATCTTCCAGAGGGACATGATTTCTCCTTCTGTACCTTTCTCTTTGTCTCTCTCTTTGTGCCCCTTTTTCTCCTTGCTTGAGCAAGTCCTACTGAGCTTTAAATTCTAGTTCAGAAAATGACTTGTGAAACCTTTGTACTCCATTCATCTTCAAGTTTCTAAATTCTTAGTTGCATCAGTAGTTTGTACTTCACTTTTTAGAATTTGATATACACTATTGTACTGTTCTATGCTATTCTCATCTCTTCAACTTTACTAAGTATTAACATGGAGAGTGACACTTATACAGCTTTTATGTTTTAGTATTGGCACATACTAGGTACTCAATAATACTTTCAGATTAATCATAAAAATTATAGATCACTTGCGGTTTGCTTTACCTGTTAGATGAATAAAAGGCAGAAATTTTCTTTACCATTTAAGAGATCTTATTCTTCAGTGTTTAGGGTGGAGGAAAGAAAGACAGAAGGATAACAAATAACTTTCTAGTTGCTGTCTGTATTTCAAAAGAGAAATAAGAATGAAGATAGGTATAAAAGATTATTTTCATAAAAACTGAAGTGGAACATTCACTGTAACTTTTTCTGGGTGTGAAAGTTCATTCTTATAAGCTTTGTTGGGTTTAAAATAAATTGAGAATAAATATGTTCAATTATATATCCAACATTAAGTTCTTAGATATAACTTATCAGTATTTCCTATTGAAAATGTGGGAATTTTATGTTTGATCCTAGCCATATGGCCAAGAAGCAATGAAAATATAAGGATGTTAAAAAATACATTGTCTAGGTTGTCAAAGTATTTCAGCTAACATCTGCCTTTTTGTGAATAGTTACTGAAATGTTTGAACATTATCTAATAAATACTTATTGCGAATTAGAGGTCTAAGAATGATTATTTGTAGAAATTTACTAGCATTTAGTATGCTTATAAATCTGGTAATTAGGTGACTGAAATATTATTAATATATTTTCCTGTCATTTTTTTGGGTAGCCATTTAAAGATCGCTGTGAATGGTTCTATGAACATTTGCATTCAGGACAACCAGATTCAGACATGGTGCACAGGCCAGTAAATGAAAATGACATTCTGCTGGTTCACAGAGGTATGTTTAAAAAAGAAAATGATATTCGTGTGAGGCACAAAGTACTTGTTATTATAAATTTTAATATGTAAAATTAACGAATGCTACATATTTAGATTCTATTTTTAGGAGTAGCTGTGAAGTTGTATCAAAAGCAAATTGTGCAAAGCTAAAACAAGGGATTGCTGTACGATTCCATGGAGAAGAAGGCATGGTGGGTATAAAAATAAGTTATTTGGAAATCACTGTATATAAAAGAAACACATTTGAATGAAGCTTAATATTTAATTGATAAACAAAGAAATTTAATGTTTTAATTTTGTTCTCATTCAGAAAAAAAGTTTCCAGCATAATATATTTTTGTTGATGTTAAATTTCATTTTCTTGAACCTTAGGGTCAAGGCGTTGTGCGAGAGTGGTTTGATATTCTGTCTAATGAGATAGTCAATCCTGATTATGCACTGTTTACCCAGTCAGCGGATGGTAAGTTGTGTGGTCTTGATTTTTTTGGTGACTTGTCATATTTTTCAAACTACTTCAGTACATTTTGTTGATTCCCACAGTAACCCTGTGAACTAGATGAGGCATTCCCATATCAAAAACTGTAATTCAGAGTTTTTGTCTATATTGACACAGCTGACAAGTGGTAGAACCGAAAGTGGAACTTGACTTAATGTAGTAGAGTTGGTTTCCAAATGCTTGTCTTGAGGTCCTGAACAAGTTCTTATCTGCCCTTTGAAACTTATTCAATTGATATTTATCCTTTAGCCTACTTTTTTTTTAATATTTATTTTTCGGTTTTCAGTGGACACATCTTTATATTATTTTATGTGGTGCTGAGGATCGAACCCAGCGCCCCACGCATGCCAGGCACATTACCGCTTGAGCCACATCCCCAGCCCTCGCCTACTTTTTTGGCTAACGTTTTCTTCCATAAAATAGTGTTGCTAGTAATGGACTTAAAAAAAAGTCCGTATTTGGAAAAATAAAAATTTGCTAACCCTATTTGAGTTTCTACATCTAAAATTTAGTGTGATTCCTCCATTGTGAGAGTTCTGCTTCCTTTATGTTTCAAAAATAAATTCTGTTACTTTATTCTAAAAAGAAAAAAAGATATTGGTTATGAAAACCAAAATCTAGAAATTGTGATGTTAAATCTTAACTCATAATCTATTTATGCATGCTGACTTTTTTTTTTTCAGTTCTTTTAAGAGATCAAGACCTGACAACTACAAAGCTCTTACCTAACCATATAATACAGATGAACAGCTCTCTTTGTGGAAATGGTTTTTGGACCTATAGAGTTGTAATTTGATATTATAGACTAAATGGAATTGGTTACCACCTCATTTTTGTGAGGGTATGTTTGAGAGCTCTGTAATAAAGACTTATATTTGAAGTGAAAGTAGGATTTTAGATTTCAGATGCTTTGCGCACAGTTCCATTGTTTTTTCCTGCAAATTTTTTCTTTCTCCAGTATTTACATTCTCTTACAAGGAGAGAATACCTAATTAATTGTAGCTTCTGACTGCTTCCAAACAAGTGTAGCAGCAAATCTCCATTTAATAAGAAGGATTACTTGAGGAGAGGCCAACAGGAGTGGGCTGCAATGAAGCTAGGAAGCTGCAGGCATTCACCTATGTAATGCGCTCCTTGGGTATTTGAAATTACTTAAGAATATGGGACTGCCTGCTTTAATTTTGTAACCTTTGATTGTTTGCTCTTGGTGAATTTAGTGTCTTTGTGAACAGTATGACAAGTTCAATGAAGCGCTAAGTTTAAAGATTTTAGGCCTAATCTCTAAAACTCAATTCAGCATATTTTAGGCTTTGCTTTGCTTTATAGTCCCCTCATTCTGCCTGTTTAGTTTCATACCTGAAATTCAGATTTGATGTGAAAATCATTACTAGAGGTACTTCCTTAATACCACATAACAAAGCAAATGTTGAGGGGATAGACTGTAAAAATTGTGGTTCTTTTTGTAAACTACATGATTTCTCTTTAGGGTCATGGTTTTAATAATAATTTAAAAATCTAGGTGAAATATTATCTTGTTATTAAGTTTAGTTTCATGAAGGAATTTCATTTAGGATTTAAGAGTTCCTGAATGTGGGGAACATCTGGAGAGACTGTTATTTGTAACAATTTTTTTTAAAAAAACTTATTTTCTAATCAAATTAAGATGCTCATGATAGAGAAGCAGCTTATGATACTGTTTGAGTTTGGATTTTGGGGTTACATTAGGTGTTAATATTGGCTCTGCCACTTTTTAAATTTGATATTAGACTAGTGAAGTTAACCTTTAATTGAAAATGGTGATAATTTGTTTTATAACACAATGAGAATTCAGTTAGTGGATACGTCAATTAGCTGAGATGTGAAAATGTTTATTTTGATGCTTGGCACAAAGAAAGCATGAAATAAGTATTAGATACTGTTACTATTATTTTTTGAAAATAATTATGTAGTAGGATTTCCTTCTTGAAATTGTATTTTCAGGGCTTGAGATATAACTCATTGGTAAAACATTTGTCTTGTGTGCACAGGGCCCTTTGACTGCCAGCACCACACAAAAAAGTTTTTCATTATATTTTGAAAAATATCTCAATAAATCATATTTATCTGAATAATAGTTCAGAATTTACACATGCCAATGTTCAGTCATCCCTCAGAATCTACTAGTGATTGGTGCAGGCCCCCTCTAAACACATCATAATTTGTGGATGGATGCCCAAGTCCCTTCTATAAGATGGTCTGGTATTTGCATTTAACCTATGCATATCCTCCCATATACTTTAAATCATCCCTAGATTACTTATAATTTTTTAAACATTTATTAATTTTTTTAGAAGTAGTTAGACACAATAGCTTTATTTTATTTATTTATTTTTATGTGGTGCTGAGGATCGAACCCAGCACCTTGCATGTGCTAGATGAGCACTCTACCACTGAGCCACAGTCCCAGCCCCAGAATTTTTAATAGTGAAAACAAGAACCTGGGACCGTCATAGTTGTGATTATTTTGAACTTAAAAATCTTAATATAAATTTTATACTCTGTTTTAACTAGTTTTCAAGTTAAAAACTATTTATTATTCCTGTCCTGAAGATTTTTATCCCATTTGCTTCCTTTTTTTCCTTTAAATTTCTCCTTATCTATTCTTTTTAAGAATCCAAATTTCCCAGAAAGTATTAGATAGTGAAAGAATTACACAAAGCTAGGAGAGGAAAATAGACTCATCAAAAATAAGTGCTGGTTCACCAGTAACCCTAATGTTCTCTATTTGAACAGATAAAAAAAAAAATTGTGATATTCTCATTATAAAATAATATGGTTTTGGAATTATGGTTATGCTGATCTTTGATGTCTTTCTTCTTCTCCAAGGCCTTGCTCTGTCTTTTCATATCCAGTCATACCTCATGACTGGAAATTATTCAGAGGTATTTAAGAGTGAATGATGAACTTCATGTGGCTTATTTAGGCCATTCAACCATAAGCTTCTAAATTTTTTCCCTTACATCTAATTAAATGGGTGACAGCAGTTTAATCCAATTTCAACAATGATAAATCAAAGCTCAAAGTATTATCACAAATATGTATTCCAAATGACCAAACATTTCACTAATAATATTTTCTACTTTATTTTTCTTTGATTCTATTTCTGTTATATTTATCAGTTATCCTTTCTTTTAGCCTCAGTACCTAGAACAGTAAGTAGTACATAGCATGAGTTCATGTTTCTTGAATGAATGAATTTTTAATCCAGGTTAATGATCATCACAGAAAAATCAGTGGAGTTGAAGTTGAGAAGTTGACATTAGGTTTTTCGATTGGACTATGCGTTTTTGTGTGGTAAAATATGTAATATTGATCATTTCAACCATTTGAAAGTCTGCAACTTATTGACACTATTGACCTATTATGCTGTACAACCATCACCACTGATTCCAGAACTTTTTTGTCAGCCCAAGCAGAAATTCTGCTTGTTAAATAACTCCTCAGTCTTTCCCTAGCCTCAAGTAACTACTTGAAGTATAATCTACTTTGAATATATATGAATTCACTTATTCTAGATATTTCATAAAAGTGGAATTATACTCTTAAAATTAGATTTTGACACTGTAACCAGTAACTGTTACTCTTGCCATTTTTCCTTTTACCTCAGCATTAATTGTTTAAACTTGATTATTTGCCATGTGAAAGAAGTGGTTGACTTGGAAACTTAGATGATTTTCTGATCATTGTTTAACAGGCATTAAGTTCAATGACTAGATCTATTAAGAACAGTTGTACATTTAAAAGTTTTAGTCTTTCTCATAACTGTTTGCTTTCCTTGAGAAGCAAAAATAAGTGAATAATAATTGCCCTGGACATATATAGATGAATGAGACAATATCTGCCCTAGTTTATAGCCTAGTATTTATTGCCACACTGCCTAGGAAAATGGGTGTTCATACGTGTATGTGTATTATCTTTTACTAGGTTTTTTGAAGGTATCTAATGTTCTTCCAACTACTTTCAGTTGAAAGTATTCTAAAATTTTCTCTTTATATTTGGACTTGTCCTGATAATGTATGTGAATTAATGGTTATTTTCAGTACTTCCATTTCTACTGCCTGTTTGTGTATCCACAAAGAACATTCCTATGGAAGCTTAATATGATTAGCTTTACTGAAGTTATATGTGAATTAATTTATTTGCATTTAAGTTATCTCTCTTCTGCATATAGATTCCTAAGTATAATTTTTTGGTATTTATTTTAATAGGAACAACTTTTCAGCCTAATAGCAACTCCTATGTAAATCCTGATCACTTGAACTATTTCCGGTTTGCTGGCCAGATCTTGGGATTAGCTTTGAACCATAGGCAGTTGGTCAATATTTACTTCACACGATCATTCTACAAACACATTCTTGGTATGGTTTTATTTTTTATTTCTGTACACATGTTTTTACAGTAATTTTCTTAAGCTTTTAAGGGTGAACTAAGTAGGTAATCAGTGGCATTTGAATGAGATAATTTTTATTTTGATTGGACACCATCTATGTGTAAGGCATTTGGGGGTCAGAGGCAAAAAAAAAAATGACCTATTTTTAAAAAAACACTTCTAAATTTTTGTTTTTTATTTTATCATGTATATGTTTGTGCAAAGAATACAATTTAATAAGATATTTGGTACTTCTGAAATTTTATGACAACTTACGGAATATCTATTTTAAAGAAAGATTTCATTGTAAAGATGTGGAAAAAAACAGGCTTAATATTTAGAATTACACATTTAGGAATTAGATCCATTTAAAGCCATGCTGTGAATTGGATTCTGTTTTGCAGTTTTTCAATGTATCCGTAGAGGGCAGTATTTTACCATTAAACAGATGAGGAAAGACAGAAAAATGGACTGTAACTGCTGTGTTTTTGCATTTTTTTAGGTATTCCTGTAAATTACCAAGATGTAGCATCCATTGATCCAGAATATGCCAAAAATTTGCAGTGGATTTTAGATAATGATATTAGTGATCTAGGTCTAGAATTAACTTTTTCTGTTGAAACTGATGTGTTTGGAGCAATGGAAGAGGTGCCTTTGAAACCTGGGGGTGGAGGTATTCTTGTGACACAAAATAACAAAGTGAGTATTTGAATGTTTACCTTAATTATTGTTTGAAGTTTGGATTTGATAATTTGCCAGTTACTCTAAATTGTTCTGGTACTTGCTAGAAAAGCTTTTATGCTGTACATTAAAACATTTGAGTTAACAAAACTATCAAATATCAAACTTGAATTGGAAAGGATCATTTCAGTATTGTTTTACCTAGGTAGGCTGAGATGGTTCCTAAAGCAGTCTGGACGCTTCAGTTGATCATACCAATTGTACATTTACAAATGCATTTGAAAATTTTAATAATACAAACTTAATCAAAATATAATACTTGTAATAATCACTATTTCAAAAGTGTGATTAAAGAGTTTTAATATAGGACTGGGACTGTGGGTCAGCGGTAGTGCACTTGCTTGGCATATATGAGGCACTGGGTTTGATTCTCAGCATTGCATATAGATAAATAAAATAAAGGTCTATCAACAACTAAAAAAATATTTTAAAAAATATTTTAAAAATATTTTAATATAGAAAAGAAGAAATACCAATGTTTAAACTTTGGAAATGCTTTTAAGTTCCAGTAAATCTGTTAGACCTCTTAATGTATATATTTCTAATTTTATATCTTGGTTGTTTTTATTATTGTATCTTCTCTATACATGTTATCACAAAATCTTGCATTTGTTTTAAATGTTGAAAATCATAAACTTTTGAAAATCATAATCAAATATACAATACAGTATTATATTTTGCTATATTATGAAGGACATTCGGAATCAGAAAATCTGGTTTTGAATTCCAGTTATGTATGAATAGCATCTTCTTGTTAAACAAACCTAAAACCTTTTTCCTTTCCTTAGTCATGTTTTAATTCCAAGACAACTTCAGAATTAACCATAAAGATTGTCTGTTAAACCATTTTGTAGGTTGTAGACTTTTTGTTGTTGTTGTTATTATAATAGTGCTGGGGGCCAAACCCAGACAGAACCTTACGCAATGATAGTCATGTTCCCTGCTACCACTGAACTGCATTGCTGGCCCAAGACTTAGTCACATTTTAACAACTCATTGAGCCTCAGTTTTCTACATCCTATAGAACTAGAATAATAATACCTACCATACAGAATTGTCATTGACATTCTGTAAAATGAAAAGTAGCACAAAAGTTGTAGTAGTAGTAAAGAATGCTATTGGGTAGTATTCTTTAAAAGTATGTTCTTAGTTTCACATATATAAAGGAAATTGTGAACCTGTATTAAGACATACAATTTTACTTCTTAAAACTCTTGTGCTATACTTATACAAAAATATGCAGTTGAGTTATTAGAAATAAAATCGGGAGTTGAGCTTTTATTCACTATACTTAGAAATTTTTAGCTTTCCCTCTGATTTTGTATACAAGGACACTGAATCCTAAAGAGTTAATGGCAAAGGTGATACCAAAACTCAGGTCTCCTAATTTCAAGTCTAATGTTCTTCATGCTGTATGCAAAATTAATCATATTGAGGAAAAACCTACCTAGTTTTTAATATAATGAGTCATGTTAGAATGTTGAAAATTAAGATAGTAAAGTGCTTAAATTAATTTTGAAATTTGTATGAACTTGGGAGTGAATGAAAATATTTTAAAAATCTTTATAGATTGTTCACCTTGTAGTACATTTATTATTTTATTTTACACCAAAGACCAACCTTCAATTAAAGGTAATGAAGTCATAGAATCTTTTTTTTTTTTTTTTTAGTTGTAGATAGACACAATATGTTTATTTAATTTATTTTTTTATGTGGTGCTAAGGCTCGAACCCAGTGCCCCACACATGCCAGGCAAGCGCTCCACCACTGAGCCACAACCCCAGCCCCCATAGAATCTTTATTAAGCAGGTGATTGCTTTTCAGGGAAGAACCATAAATGTAATTCTTATTGGTGAATACTGTATCTGGTGAGTAGTTTGATGAAGTGGAATGACCATTTAACAATTCAATGATACATAGCTGTGTTTATACTTGCATTTTTTTAGCCACTCCACTAATGACATGATTTTTATTTAGATTTTATAAAATACTTATTAGTTTTTACATTCATGTTTTTTATTGGAATCTAGAAAGAAGGAAAATAGTAATTAAATAATTATAAATTAAAATATGCTCATGGAGGATGTACCTTTCATTGTGAGTCTTGTCTGAGGATGGAATACTATGGTAATTAAAGAGTTTGAAACATTTATTTCTAAGTGTAACACTTTTTAATTTGACCAGTTGCTTGGTTGATAATGGGCTAAATTTAAAAAAAATAATTAGGATTGATAATAGCAGGATCTCAGTCATAAATATGTTAATAATTATTCTCAACTTTTATTTTTCTCATATAAAAATTTCTCACAATAAATCGAGTCTCCATTTTCTAAAGTTACCAATATAATTGTATTATCAAATTTTTGGTTGTTTAGACATTTAATTTTTTTTTTTAATAAACAACCAGATTAATTTAAAAATCTTTAGGAACATACCACATCTTAAACTGATTACTTGCCTTAAAATTGTTAAAGTATTTAGTATATAAAATGTTCATTTAAAAAATCAAACCTGAAGAATATAATTTTTTTTCAATTTATGCATTCTACCATGAACTTTACTGTCACTTTAGAACTAGTCCATTATTTACTTATGTTTATAAGTAAATAGTTGTAATTGTCATATCTAGAGTTGAACTTTATAATTTTAACTGTTTTGAAATTTAAATGACTTGCCAAACTTATTAGTAAGAGAGAGCCTATTTAAACTGATTTCCACATGAGGGAGTTATTATTCCTAAATTTTATTAAAGGCCTTTGTTAATTACAGAATGAAAACAAAATGCATTTTCTCTAAAATCCAGTATATTAAATGAATGCATGTAATACAGGCAGAAGAATATATATTAGTTCCACATTTGGATATATAATGTTTTTAATTTTGTAGCTGTCAGTGATTTGTTTTAAAAGCTAGAGGGGAAAAAATCCCTCATTGTTTTCATTTTGGAAAATAGTTGTATTATCAGAAGTTGAAATTTTAACATTTAAAGAGTTTTTCCATCTCTTTAAAAATAATTTTGATTATTAAACAAAACCTGAAATATTAGAGCCGTAATTCTTGAGTTAGATGCATCCTTTTTTGCTTAGATCTTCAGTTTCAGCTCTTGGAACTGAATGATAAACTACATGGATTTTAAATACTAGCATTGCTTTTACAATATTAATCATAAAGTTCATGCAGACTTGGATAGTGGAATGAGCATGGGGTAGGGCAGGATCTCAGGGAATGGATGGAGGAGGCAGTAGGAGAGTTGAATTATAGAGAAATATAAAGTGGTCAGGTAAGAATAAGGAAAGGAAGAAGGAAATGTTCTGGGCTCATCAGAAGGCACACAGATGACACAGAGCATGGCATATTTGAGGACCCACAGTAGCTCAGAGTCTTGGAGCTTGGCTTACATTGCATAACGAGTGAGAGAGAAAAGATGAGGTGGGGGAGGTAGACTGGGGCCAAATTATGAAAGACTGCACCTATAACAAGAAATTTGAGGCTATAGGTAGGGATGATTGCAAATGTTAAATAAGGGTTCTGGGTTTTTGTTTTTTTTTTTTCATTTTTGCTTTAAACTTAATTTTGAGCATGAAGAATGTGTTGAAATGGAGCAAAAAAAAATATTGTAGTCAGGCAACCAATAGGAGGCTGTTGCATTGTTTTCAGGGAGCAAGCATGAGGAGTTTTCTAAGGCAGTGGTAGTGAAAATGGAGAAGAGGACATAACTTTAATAGAATTTATAGAACTTGGTTGTAATTGTTTGGAAAGATGAGAAAGAGGAAGGACTAAAGGGCGATTGCAACTTTCGTGGATTCGGCTCCCAAATGATTCATAATGTTGCCATTCTACTCTCTATTTATCTCATTGCCCTTTAGTTCTGTTTTCTAGTGATAATAATAGGATTACCTTTTGTATATTTCATATACTTGAATTATATACTTTTAAATTTTTCATTTACTGTAGTAACCTTTTGATTGAATTATTTCTCTTTATCCAATATGAAAATAGCCTTAATATTAAAACTATCTGACATTTATTAGATGCTTATAATGTGCTAGGCAGTGTTTGAAGTGCCTTATGAGTATTAGCTTAAACAAACCTGTACAGGTGAGGAAATGGAAATATATAGGGCTAAATGGCATCACCCAAATCACAGTTAATAATTGGTGAGGCTAGGATTTGAACCCCTGTGCTAGATACATTTTTTTAAAATAGTTTTTTAGTTGTAGATAGGCACAATACATTTATTTTATTTGTTTTTTTTCATGTGGTGCCAGGGATCGATGCTAGGCAAGCGCTCTACTGCTGAGTCACAACCCTGGCCCCTTAGATATATTTTTGAGCCTGCTTTTAAGCAAGATAACTGTATTCTTTAGGAAAAAAAAAAAATTGAGTTCTCAATGGAGAAATTTTGAGACAGAGTCTTGTTAAATTGCTTAAGGCCTCACTAAGTTGCTGAGGCTGGTCTTGAACTTGAGATTCTTCTGCCTCAGCCTCCTTAGCTGCTAGGATTACAGATGTGCACCACTGTGCCTGGCCCTTTTATTTTTTGTATTGAGATAGGGTCTTGCTAAATTGCTGAGGCTGGCTTCAAACTTTTGATCCTCTTGTCCGGAGTCACTGGGATTACAGGAGTTCGATCCCATACTCATTTGAAATTTTCAGTAAAAACTATTATATGCCAGAGCAATAATAATCGGGGAGATAAATCCAGGAAGGAAGGTTTTGTTACCAACAGTTTATATAAACAGTGAATTGAATTATGTCAGTAATAGTACCATTTAAACAGTTGATTGGTTAAAAAAGAAAATCCAACAAATGAAAAAACCCACAAACCATTCCAAACAATTTTATAAATGTGGCCAAGAATATCAATCTACTTAAAGGGGGAGAAGAGCATTTTGTTTTTACTATTAAAAATTATTTAACTGTTATTCAAATAACTGTGCTTTATTGAGGTGTATATCAAGAAATAGTAAAAAAAGATTTTCAAGAAGGAAATTAGTTTAGAGAAATGTGTCAATTTTCAGTGTTCCCAATGCACTCCATAGGAGGACATAATTTAGGCCTAAAACCTGAAGAAAAGTTAAAATTTTAAGGAATGTCTTTGAGGGATGATGTTATTCATTTCACATATTAAGAAGATTAGGAGATTACTGAAGCAAAATGTTTCTATAAGTAGACAGTAATTGAACTGGAATGTAAATATCTGAAAGTTGAATCACCTTAGTCTTAGTGTGCATTCTGTTTATAGTTACTTTTCTCTTATATCTTTATATCAATTATCAGGCTCCGAGGTTGTGCTGGAAAAAAGTTGCTAGAGCTCTTTTTTTATTCTCTGTTGAGGCTTTCTAGGTTGAAATTTTCTGTATGTTAACGTATTATCTTATATATCGTCACTTCTCCAGTTTAATTCCATAGCATCTCATATTTTATGCCCTCAAAGAATTGACTGCAAAACTTATTAGGAACAGTATATGCTATCTGTTGGGGATAAAATATCTTTACTCTTAGCTTTTATCAGTTTTATTATTTTTAAAAATTTTTAATTATATTTTAACAAATTATGTTTGTATATATTTTATGGATACAAATTGATGCTATGACTTATGAATAAGTCAAGCTAATTAACATATCCATTACCTCAAATACTGACTATTTTTTGTAGTGAGAATGAATATATTAGTTTTTTTAATACCTTAGAGAAAAGTCAGATTTTAGATTTGATTTATATTTATTGCTTAGTTTTGAAACTTCTCATTCCACTGTTTTATGGATTGGCTATCATCTATGTGTGCACTGTTTCCTTAAAGCTTATATGAAACAGTGTAATTTTGCAAGGATATAAAATCACCTATAAACCCTTTATAGGTAATGGAAGGTAGCTGTTATATTTCTGCATAACAAAAACAGTTGGAATGTTAGTGTGTAAAATTAGTAAGTGTTCATAGTAACAATTGGATTGCCAAGAAGATGTTAATTTGTGTTGTTTTATTTGAAGTTGTGCTATTTAAAGAGACAGGGAAAAATATTTTAGAGGCAGTTTGATTAATCACAGTTATCTTTCACTTATCTTTATTCTACTAAACAACTCAAAGTTTATAATGACTAGGATTTTATTATTTTACTGAAAGGTAATTTAAACCAAGAGACAGTCACATTTAAATTCCTTAATTGCTATGAGGATTAGGATGTGAAGGAGCTGATTTTCACAAATCCATATCTGGTAGCTATGGACTGGTTACTGAAATAAATACAGAAAATAATTAATGTTTGAAGGAATAAAAGATAAAAGTGTGAGGAAAGATTAGCACACATATAAAAATTTAAAAATTGAATGTATGAGGACATAATAGGAATTGATAAAAATAATGTGTATTCCAATAGATATGGAATGCAACTAATATAGGTAAACTTTACTTGGGCAATTCACAAATCTTATTTTCATACTTTATAATTCATTAAGACCTTTTTCTCCTCAGTGTTTAGAGTTATTGAGAACTCTACATAGCATATTGCTTTTAACTCTCAAAAGTTTTACTTAGGCCAGGTGTGGTGATGCATGCCTGTAATCCCAGTGGCTCAGGAGGCTGCAGCAGGAAGAACTCAAGTTCAAAATCAGCCTCAGCAATTTAGTAAGGCCCTGAGTAACTCAGTGAGACCCTATCTGAATGTAAAATATACAAAAAGGCTAAGGATGTTGCTCAGTGGTTAAGCACCACTGTGTTCAATGCCTGGTACTAGGGAAAAAAAAGTTAGAAGTAATTTAGAAAAATATATAAAGGATAACATCCAATAGTTTATATACACATACATGTATATACGATAATCATTCATTCTGGTCTGTGCCAAAATACATTTTTTACTATCAGTTAAATTTTAATAATAATGTGTGAAAATAGTTTAACTCAAAATTGAATTGGCTATGATAAAATGAGTCATTTTATTAAGCTTAAAGTGTGTGTTGTTAATTTGTTAATGTATGCATTCATTTTTATCACTTATTTATTAAATATTTACAAAGTAGCAGCCACTCTTAGGAGCAGGGGATATATACTGATAGATATATAAAACAAAGTTCTTGTCTGCAGAGAGTTTATGTTCTAATGAGATATTTCAGTTAGAAAGCCTCAAAGTGTAAAGACAGAGAGGCCTAATTGAGCTTGTGTTTGGGGAATAGTTGGAGGGCCAAGGAAGAGAATTGAGTGAACCGACCTAGGGGAGGAGTGAAAAGGAATGGGATCAGTGAGCAAAGCAGAGCTCAGATCAATAAGAGCCTTACAGACTGGGAAAGGTTTTTATTTGGATTTTACTGTGTCATGTGAAGTCATTGTAGGGTTTTGAGCAGGAAAGTTATGTGTTATATATCTGTATTTTTTTTTAAGGAGAGAGAAGAGAGAGAGAGAATTTTTAATATTTATTTTTCAGTTTTCGGTGGACACAACATCTTTATTATATTTTTATGTGGTGCTGAGGACCGAACCCAGAGCCCCGCACATGCCAGGCGAGCGCGTTACCGCTTGAGCCACAACCCAGCCCAATATATCTGTATTTTTAAAAGCCACTTTAGCTGTGGCAGGAAGCAAAATGGAAACAGGTGTTGCTGTAATCAAGCTAGAGATGATGATGGCTTGGATCAGGATGCTAGAAGTAGAGGTAGTTAAGACTAAGTCAGATTGAGAATATTTTTTAAAGGTAGATCTTACCGACAAAATCTGAGAGAAGTCATGGGTGATTGATTACTAGGATTTTGGCCTAAACAACTTAGTGAATGGTGGTTTACTGGTTTGTTGAGTTTTATGAATATTGGCACCAAATTAATTCCAAACCTTTACCTCTTAAATGAGAAATTTATTCTATCAACATTATCTTAAATGAGATTTAAAAAGAAGTCATCACAAAAACTTTTTTTTTTTTTTTTTGTAGGCAGAGTATGTCCAGCTTGTTACTGAACTTCGAATGACAAGAGCCATTCAGCCTCAGATCAATGCTTTTTTACAGGGCTTTCATATGTTTATTCCACCTTCTCTCATACAGCTTTTTGATGAATATGAATTGGTAAGGAAAAATGTGGGTTTTGTTATTGTTGTTATTCAAGAGTGTAGAACTCTAGTTGATTAATTCAGAAATAATTTTAGAGTACTATAATGAATGGAATAAGGTATAATGAGGCATTATGGTTTAGTATTCATGTTTGAGATTTGTTATAAGGTTTGTGGTTGTAATTCTCTTAAACTTAATAAGCAGATTAACAATTCCCTAATGTGAAATGGGGTGAGGTTTTGATAAACAAAAATGGATGTATTTCTAATGTCTTTTACATAGGAGATGTTGAAGGCCTGTCTTCTTCCTGTAAGAATATTCCACATTACTCCTGAAATTTTTATTTGGCCATATCAAGTAAGGATGCTGATAGTAATTTGTTGTGCTTACAAAAGGAATTCAAAGGGCTTTTTCTTATTTTATTTATCTGGTCTTCTTCAGCTTCTTATTTTACCATATATGTAATTTTATAAATTTCTACTTTAGACCTCTGTAGAGTCCACTCTCTTTGCTATCCTTTAGTCCCTAATGTTTGTTTGTTTTGTTCCTGTAACTTATCTGCCATCTACAGTGATCTAACAGGATTTCTAATTTTATATGATTTATGTCTGGGTTTTTCTTCCATATCCTTTTTCCTTTTTTTGTAATAAGTTATTTTCAAATTCTTTGCATTATAGTTTTTAATAAAACAGTATTTTAAGTAGAAATAGCTTCTTATTTAAAAATTATAATTAGGAATAGTAAATTCACTTTGCCTTTTCATTTTACTATATGATGGACACTGATGTATACCTTTACTTTTACATATGTTGATATTTTCAATTTATTGTTCATAGTATATCTTAGTTTAGTAATGAAAAAAATTTGCTAATTTTGAAGTTCATTGCAACTTAATTTCATTAAATGTAAGTTTTGCAGTTGTTTCATGCTGAAAGATTAATGGCTTCATTTGGCATAGATTCATTTTTTAGGTAATTATAAAAGTTTTAGCATTTAAAAATGAAGGAAGTACTTTTGAACTGTTACTAGACATTACTTAAAACTGACTTTTTCTATGTAGTTGTGTTAAATTAGCCATGTGAAGTTCAAGAAAGAATTAAGTTATTTTCTAGACCTATGTGTATGTAAAAAACAGCAACAACAAAATTAATTGGTGAAAAAATTGCTTGATAATTTACTAATACTGATAAATTTATAAAAATAAAAAGCTTGCATAGTAAATGTAAAGCTCAGTGAATCTTAATGAACTGAACACACTTGTGAAAATAGCTCCCAGATTAATTCAGAAATCCTAGTACCTGAGATTTTCTTCTTGTGTTCCCCTTCCAGTCAGTATCCCCTCTCAAGTATAATCATTCTCTTAACTTCTAAAATCATATTAGGTTTACATATTTGTAAAATGTGTGCCAATGGAAAGAGCTCAGTTTTTTGTTGTGAGAATCACACCTATTATTACATGCAACTGTAATTTTTTTCATTTTCATTGCTGTGTAGTATTTCATTGTGTTTGTTTCCTATTGTCATTTCTACTTTTGATGAACATTTGTGGCTTCTTTTTTATTAAAGGCTAGTTCAAGTAGTGCTACTATAAGCACTCTAGTATGTCTTTAGGAGGAAAATATGTATATGTTCTGTAGTATGTACATCTTGGAATAGAATTGCTGGGATATAGAGTATGTGTGAATTCCATGTTAGTAGATAAGTAGCAAATAGTTCTCAAAATTTATGTGTCAATTTACACTCCAATCAGCAGTGAGATTTCTGGGTGTTCCATATCTTCAACCAGTATTTGATATTTTCTGTTTTTTCTTTTTTCATTTTTGCTATTTTGGTGGATCTGTAGTGTTTTTAAATGATATTAATTTGTATTTCCCTGATGACTAATGAAGTTGTTTATTGGTTATTTGTGTTCTGCTTTTGAAGTGTCAAGTAATTTGTCTATTTTACTATTTTCTGTTGTTCTGTTTGGAGGATTCTTTATGTGGGTCCTTTATCAGATATATGTATTGTGAATATCTGATATCTTTCAGTGAATAAAAAATTTTATTTTTACACAGTTCAGCCTATATTTTTAAAAAATTTTAATGATGCACTTAAAATTTTTTTTCCTAATTGTTTTTTTTTTTTTAGTTTACATGACAGTAGAATCCATTTTGACATAATTATACAAGCATGGAATGTATTTTATTCTAGTTAGGACCCCATTCTTGTGGATGTACATGATGGTGGGATTTACTGTGGTGTTTTCATATATTTACATAGGAAGATCAAGTCAGATTCCTCTCACCACCTTTCCTTTTCTGTTCTTCCTCCTTTCCCTCCATTCCCCATTGTCTAATCTATTGAACTTCTGTTCCCCGCCCTCCCCATTGTGGGTTAGCTTGTACATATCAGAGAGAGTATTCAACCTTTGGCTTCTTAGGATTGGCTTATTTCACATAGCATAATAGTCTCCAGGTCCATACATTTACTGGCAAATGCCATAGTCATTCTTCTTTAGGCTGAGTAATATTACATTGGGTGTGTATGTATATGTGTATTTATCTATCATATTTTCTTTATTCATTCATCTGTTGAAGGGCATCTAGGTTGATTCCATAGCTTAGTTATTGTGAATTGAGCTGCTGTAAACATTGATGTGGCTGCATCACTGTAGTATGCTGCTTGTGTGTGTGTGTGTGTGTGTGTGTGTGTGGTGCTGGGGATTGAACCCAGGTTCTTATGCATGCCAGGCAAGCACCCTACCAACTGAGCTATCTTCCCAGTCCTAGTATGATGATTTTAATATATTTTTTTTTTAGTTGTACATGGACACAGTATCTTCATTTTGTTTATTTATTTTTATGTGGTGCTGAGGATTGAACCCAGTGCCTCATATGTTTGAGGTAAGTGCTCTGCCACAGAGCCACAACCCCAGCTCAGTATGCTGATTTTAAATCCTTTGGATATATACTGAGGAGCAGGATAACTGGGTCAAATAGTGGTTCCATTCCCAGTTTTCTTTCTTTTTTCTTTTTTTGGTACCAGGGATTGACCTCAGGGGTACTCAACCACTGAATCACATCCCCAACTCTATTTTGTATTTTATTTAGAGACAGGATCTCATTAAGTTGCTTAGCTCCTCGAGTTGCTGAGGCTGGCTTTGAACTTAAATCCTCCTGCCTCAGCCTCCCGAGCTGCTGGGATTATAGGCATGCGCCACTGTGCCATTCCCAGTTTTTTGAGGAGTCTCCATACTGCTTTCCACAGTGGTTGCACCAATTTACAGTCCTTAATGGTGAACCTTTTTATGTCTTGTTTAAGGAACTTTCTTATTTCAAGGTCATAAAGATACTTTTCTGTGTTTTAAAAGTTTTTATTCTTTCACATTTAGATCTGCTACTGGGTGTTTTTGATTGTAGTACTTGAGTCAGGTTTCTTTTTTTTTTTTTTGTGAGTGTAGGGGATGGAGTTTTTTATTCTTTAAAAATTTTTTTTTAAATACACAACAGCAGTGGAAAGCATTACAATTCTTATTACATATATAGGCATAATTTTTCATATCCCTGTATATAAAGTATGTTCATACCAATTTATGCCTTTATACATGTACTTTTTTTTGCATTACAATTTTAAATATACATACATACCACAATTTTTTGTATTGAATCAGGTTTCTTAGTTTGTCTTTGACTCAGGCTTTAATTGAGTTGATTCAGATTTGAGTTTAGCAGCATTGTAGTTATGGCTCTGATTTATACAATTTAAAGCTTAAATAAAAAGGGCTGGGGAAGCAGCCCAGTAGTTCAATTCCTAGTATCAAAAATAAAGAAAGAAAGAAAAAGAAAATGTTGCCAACGGTATTGTCATTAATCCATTCTAATACTGTTGTTATTGAGGGGTTCCTACCTAATGTCTGAGAAACTATCCTTCCCTTCTGTGGTGCTCAAGAATTTACCCATGATGGTACTAGAATAAAAAAATAACATTGAGTAATGTGAATACTAGGTAAGGTTATAGCTATGAACATAAGCATGACTCATATTCTACTAGTATTGATGATAAACATTATATCCAGTTTCAATAGACATTTCTTTTGTTATATTTTAAAAATTTAGTTCTTATGTTAATATTTTTTAAATGGGTAAATTATTCATTGGGACTTAATAGTTTTGTTATGTGCTTTTTAATGTGAAATTTCTATTTATCTATTTGATCTTGGTCAATTTAATAACTTTTTTTTCTCTAGTTGTTTAATAGGAAAATAAAAGATTTTTCCTCTTCACAAAAATTGGAATATGATAGTCATAAAATGCTTTAAATTTCTTGAGAGACTATAGTGCCCGTCATTTTTATTCATAATTATTAACAATAAAAGCACACTTAATATTATTAAAAACTTATCTTTAAACTCGTGAATTTTAAGAGACATGTAAAATTCATCCCTACTTCCTTTTGGCAGATCTATCTCAAATTCCTCCCTTGAATTTCCTCATATGGCTCAAAGAAATTTTACAAAGGGATTATTTACAGAGGTGTTTATAAGGAATGAAGAAGTTGTGATGAGGCATCCAGAGACTGGCAACAGTGAAAAACCTTAATCATAACTAGGACTGGAGATACAAGTGGAAGAATAAGTGTGAAGAGTCTGAATTGCCTAGAATGTGTAGCTGTGGCTTAGGAGACAGGCTTATTGCAAAGACATGGTTCTGAGCAGGGAGGGAGCAGACTCTTCCCTGTGTTTCCCAGTAGTGAAATTCACCTCCAGACTCTTCCCTGTGTTTCCCAGTAGTGAAATTCAATCTGAAGCCAGTAGCAAGGGAGCCAGTCTGTAGTACAGAGGAAAGTGGAGAATATGTTTGGGGGTGGTAAATGGAGATCGAAACATTTTTATCTAGTAAGAGTATTTAATAATACTGTGGCAAGGAGGAATAATACTTTCTATACTGGCGTTCTAAAACTTGATCTTTGGATCCCTTATAACAAAAGAGTTTTTGTTTATGTGGGTTATATCAATGAATATTTATGATATTTGAAATTCAAACAGACTTTTAGTTTATTAATATATATGACCATTCACTACATATTAACATAAACAACATTTTAAAAAACCTACATTTCCCAGGAACAAAGCAAAAATAGTGGAGGAGTGGCATGTTTTAGCAGGTTTTTGCAATTTTGTGATGTCTGCTTTAGTAGAAGACTACTGGATTGTCCTATCTACTTCTGCATATAATGAGTTGTGCTATCTTGCTTGAAGTATATGAAGACACTCCAACTTCACACATAACTTAGAAAAGGGAGAACCTTGCAGACCCACTGAATAGGATTCAAAATCCCTAAGAGTTCTCAGACATTGGCTTACATTAATTTTGTTCAGAGTACATTCTATATTAGTCAGGTATATGTTAATTATTGCTGTGGGAGATATAGCTTTGAACTACATTGTGTCTAGTCCCTGTTACAGCAAACATACTGTTTTGCTTAATGTGTAAGCACATATACACAATCATTGCCTTACCTCACTGTGTGAGCATATCCATAGTGAAATGACCATGCTGAGAGATACATATATACAAGCTCATGTTCTCCTTTCCCTTGGAAAATCTAATTGTAAATACTCTGCCATTCTCAATTTCCTTTTTAGTTATATAATTGAGATTTTATGTATGTGTGTACTTGATGATCTTCCTGAAAATAAGAAGCCTATCAAGAGTGATTAGAAGGCCTAGGGATATAGCTTAGTGGTAGAGCACTTGCCTAACATGTGTAAAGCCCTGCGTTCCATTCCCAGCACTGCTCCCCTGCCCCACCAAAAAAAAAAAAAAAAAGGAGAGTTTTATTTTTTTATTGTCTTGGGGAAAGTTGACTTTTGATATGAATTATTCCAGAATAGAGTTCTTAAAAGACTCTATTCTGGAATAATTCTTTTTTTGTAAACAATTACTTTTTATTATATTACCCATTTTTCCTAGTGATAAGGATTTTTTGAAGAGCTTTCTTTGTTTAATCTTATATTTATTTCAGGACTTTGTTGTCACTTTCATTTGAGAATATGGTCTTCTAATAGAATTTAACATATTTGCAAAAAAATCATGAAATAAAAATAGAGTAAATCAAAGGTAATATTCATAAAATTGTTGCATATTTAAACTGTTGTTGTGTATGTTTATGTATAAACTTATAAGCATTTTCTTTCTATATTTTAATTGTACTAAAGTGATAACATCTCCACATGTCATAATATTTGAAATGATCAGTACAGGGATTCTTTCCCATGTAGTGCTTGTAATGGATGGCATGCAGAAACTGTCACAAAAATAAATCAGTTTTATATGGGATTAGTTTCTAATGAAGGCAAATTTACTATTTAAATGTAATAACCTTTTTATTTCCCAAAGAAGATTAATGAAATATTTTCCTTCTCCCCCAAAGGAGCTACTGCTTTCTGGCATGCCAGAAATTGATGTGAGTGATTGGATAAAAAATACAGAATACACAAGTGGCTATGAAAGAGAAGATCCAGTTATTCAGGTAAAAATCTCTCTAGAGCTTAAAATGAAGTTAAATTTGCCATTTAATTTTGTAAGCTTTTCAGCACTATTGGATGATAACCTACATTAATTAACAAAGTAAAGTTTCCCCCTAAATTTTTCTTGTGGGAATATTGCATATAAAAGCTTTGTGTGAAATCATTATTGATAAATGAGTTTCATAGAATAAAATATGCTTTATGAATATTGCATATTTCTTTGGTATTAAGTCTATATTTATTCTGAAATATGAGTTTTTGTTGTTAGTGGTTCTGGGAAGTTGTAGAAGACATTACTCAAGAGGAGAGAGTTCTTCTTTTGCAGTTTGTTACTGGCAGGTAAGAAGTGTTTTTATGATGACATAGAAAGAATTTAATGTATTTTATTTCTAATGGCTTAGAAAAATAACCATAGAGAAAAATAAAAATAACCATAGAAAATAACCATAGAGAAAAAAAAGCTGTTGGTATCTTACCTCTTTTTTTTACTATTTTAGGTATTAAATAAAGATTTATGTGGTATTAAAGATAAAACATTTATAGTAGTACTTGATAAATGTTTAACACATTGAAAAGACAGTTCCAACTAAGACTTTTAAACAATAACTTATTATACTTAAATAATCTTATTACATCTGAATAATTTGTTTATCTTTGAAGTATATTTTATAATTTGGTAGTCTTTTCATTTTACAGGTAAGTGAATGTTAGTAGCCAAATTTATAATATTTGTATGTTGCTGACTTGGTTTAGTACAAAAGATATTCAGTTTACCCTGGATAAATCATAAATACACACATTGACACACAAAGCGCATTTTATATATGCATAGAAATTTTGTCAAATTTATATATGCATAGCAATTTTGTCAAATAAGAAAATTCTTATCAAAACTTTGCAATGTTAAGATTCATGGTCTAAAAAATAATTTGTGATAAAATATTTCTTTGAAGAGTTCACTTATAGGGTCAATTAAATATAATAGACATTAGAAAATAAAATGTCTTTAATATCGGATAAGTGGATTTTCAGTTTTTTAAAAATTTTTTTATTCTAGTTTGTTATATATGACAGCAGAATGCAATACAATTCATATTACATGTATAGAGCACAATTTTTCATATCTCTGGTTGTATACAAAGTATATTCACACCATTCCTGAATGTACTGTTTTCTTCTATTGATGAAAACATGGTTCAATTTTTGCATGAGTAAATGTGTAGATCTTCTGAAAGTTAGGAAACAGAAAATTACTTCACCAGCAGTAACTACTATAAACAATTTGATGTTTATCTCTTTCTGCACATTTAAAAAAACAACCATCAATGTGTATCTATATAAAACATATATAATTTTGTAAAATCCATTATTTTCTTATTTTAAAAGTAGCATATAACCAGTATAGAAAATTTAAAAAATGGAGACAAAAAGAAAATTTTGTTAAGTAATCTCACTATTTAGAGATAACTACAAATAATATTTTGCTTTATTTTCCTAGTCTTTTAACTATATAAATAGAAAAATAGTTGAGTCATACTATAAATCTAATTTTAATTAGTAAATGAAACATGACTTAACAGATTGTAGGCTAAATGTATGAAAAAAACTTTGTTTTCAGGTTTATTTGGTGTCTGAGTGCCAAAAGATACTCAAGAGATTTGAGTGATTTAATAAAAAGAATTAAACATTAATTATATTTTCTATGTAGAAAGGTTAAAAAATTCAGATAAAAAAGATTCCCCTCCCATCTTAATCCCTAACGATTACCATTATTAACATTTTGGTTATTTTTCTAGAATTATTTCCATATATATAATATTTTACTTTTTAAAACCACTGTTCTTATTTATATTTTTTTGAATTTAGGAGTAGATTATTAAAAATTGTTCTGTTTATAGATCTATATAATTTCTCAATGACTACCTCTCCTCTTTATTGAACTCCCTTAATTTCTCTTATTCTTTATTTCTAAAATTTCCTATTTATAAATAATGTTGTACAAATAAGGAATTCTAATGCTTATATCCTCATGGGCCACTCTGATTATTTATATTGGATATGTTCTTAGGAGGAAAATGTTTGGATATAAGAGTATTTGGGGCAAGGGGTATAGCTCAGGGGTAAGAGTGATTGCCTTAGCATGTGCAAGGTCTTGGGTTCAATTCCTAGTACCTGGGGGGAAAAAAAAAAGAAAGCAAGATGTTAATTTTTATAACATTAATACATATGATTCATTTACCTTTCAAGGAGGTGTCAGTATTAACATTTGGAATGAGGAGATTTAGTACCTATTTTTTTTAATCAACACAATGTATGATCATTTTTATTTTGCTATAATTTCTTATCATATATATAACATTTTGTGTGGTATGAATTGCCTTTTATTTTTGCCATTATTCCACAGTCATATTTAAAAACTCATTTTCGCCCCCTTTGGGAATGAACTCAGGGCTTTATACATGCTAAAAAGTGCTTTACTTCTGTGCTTTACACCCTTATTTCTTTTTAAAAATTTTGAGACAGTTCCCCTAAATTGCCCAGGCTGGCCTTGAACTTTCTGTCCTACTCCCTCATCCTCTGAAGTAGCTGGGATTACTCAGGCTGGCTCACTGGCTCCTTTGTTTTCTTCCTTCCTCCTCTCTCCATCCATCCATCCCTCCCTCCCATCCATCCATCCATTCATCCATCCTTTTCGTATTAATAATTGTCTTAATGAGTGTAAAGTGATATTTTATTGTGGTTTTGATTTGCATTTACCTGGAGATTAGTGATGTTGAGCATCTTTTCTTGTGTTTATTGGTCATTTGTGTATCTTTGAAAAAATGTTCAGTCCTTTGCTGATTTTTTTTTTTTAAATCATGCTATTTTGTTATTGTAGGAGTTTTAAAAAATATATTCTGGAAATCAGTCCCTTATCAGAGTTTTGATTTCTAAATATTTTTCCTATTTCGTAGATAATCTTTTAATTGTATTGACAGTGTCCTTCAATGAACAAAATTTAAAATTTTGATGAAGTACAGCTTATCTGTTTTTTATTGTGTTGCCTGTGCTTTTGGTGTCGTACCCAAAAAATCATTGCCAAATCCAATGTCCTGAAGTTATTTTCTATATTTTCTTCTAGGATTTCACAGTTGTAGCTCTTGTGTTTAGGTCTTTGGTGCATTTTAGGTTAATTTTTGTATATGATTTAAGGCAAGAGTCCAACTTTTTTTTTTTCTTCCTTTAATCTAGTTTCCCCAGTGTATTTTGTTGAATAGATTGCTCTTTACCCATTGAGTGTTCTTGGTATTTTTGTTGAAAATGATTTGGCCATCAATGCAAGAGATTAGTTCAGGGCTATCTATTCTACTACATTGGTCTGTATGTCTGTCTTTATGCCACCATGCACTGTTTTAATTACTATACTTATAAGTTTGAAATCAGGACGTGTAAGCCTCCACCTTTGTTCTTTTTCAAGATTGTTTTGGCTATTTTGAGTTTCAGCATTTTTTTAAGTGGACTGAATTATGCTTTATACTATGAATTGTGTTAAAAATATTTCAAATTGTAGTCATGTATTACCTATTTAAATGCTTCCTTGTCATAATTCTTATTATTCAAAAAGCATCTTATTAAGCATCTCTTATTTATTTATTTACTTATTTATTTCTTGCTTGCGGTTCTGGGGATTGAATCTGAGATCTCATGCCTGCTAGGCAAGTACTTTACCATTGAGCTACATCTCTAGCTCACAGCATCTTATTTTAAAAATAACCAAATTTTTTCTAGGATCAGTTTGTTTTATCATGATATATACACAGACTAATTTTAAATATTAATTTATTTTCAAATATGTAGGAATTGAGAGCTTATAATTAAATCCTCTACAGCATGTACCCAATATTAAAATTTCTAGTAATTTGTGTTATGCATTAACTTTTAGCTTTCCTGTGGCCTCATTCTGTTAGATGACATTTTTTTTTAAACACAATACCTTTATTTTATTTACTTGTTTTTTTAATGTAGTGCTGAGGATTGAACCCAGTGCCTTACACATGCAAGGCAAATGTTCTACCAATTGAGCTACAACCCCAGCCCCGTATTAGATGACATCTTAAAAATACATTTGGTGGGTCTGGGGTTGTGACTCAGTGGTAGAGTGCTTGCCTAGCATGTCTGAGGCACTGGGTTCAATTCTCAGCACCACATATAAATAAATTAATAAAATAAAGGTTCATCAACATCTAAAAAATAATTTTAAAAAATACATTTGGTATTCTGTTTATCTAGAAAGAGAAATGTAAAGAATTTTCTACTGTAAAAAGAAAACAACAGAAAACACTTTAGATCTAGATATTTTTCACAAAGAGGGAAACCATTTGGATTGCAACATGTAAGAGCCTTTGTTGCTTAAATTAATCAATCAAACATTTATTTATGTAGCAAATATTTAATGTCTACTAGGTGCCAGGCATTTTTTAAAAAATATTTTTTTAGTTGTTGATAGACCTTTATTTTATTTATTTATATGTGGTGCTGAGAATCGGACCCAATGCCTCACACATGCCAGGCAAGTACACTACTGCTGCTGAACCCCAGACCCAGCCCAGATGCCAGGCATTTTGCTAACTCCATTGATACAGATATAAATGTGACATGTTTGAGCCATCAAATCAGTCCCAGTTTAGTAGGGAGGCACAAGAAAGCAAACTACAAATGCACCTTGCTAACTTAAATAGTAGATGTATGTGCTGTGACCATTTTTAAGTATAGTATATAGTTGATGGAAATTTGGAAGGGTAACTGGCCACAAATGCAAGAATGAGTTGGGAATTTTGCAGACTAAGAGCATCTCTTATTTATTTATTTATTATTACTTATTTATTTCTTTCAACGTGCTATCTTGTCATTGTTCTAGAGTTGAATATATTCTTACTCTAACTTAGAGCTTGAAACATATCTGTTGGACAAAAATGTTTTCTTTCATGATTAGAACTTATGATACAAACTCTTAGTTCCAGGGTTCCGCATGGTGGGTTTGCTAATATCATGGGTGGAAGTGGATTGCAAAACTTTACAATTGCTGCTGTGCCATATACCCCAAATCTTTTACCAACTTCAAGCACATGGTAAGTTAGTTTGTTTAAATGCATTGTGCATTATTTTGGTTAATTTTAAATGATCAGAGGTCTAACTGGTATATATTGAAAGGAAAATCTCAACTATGATCTCTGTTCAGAATTTTGGAATCATATATACATAAGTCATTACATAGCTTTTGTTGCCTTCCTTTTTTTGGTTGGGAAAATATTTTGGGAAACCCTAACTACCTAATGTTTGATTGAATATGGTTCAAGTATCACTAAAATTCTGTTGTCAAAAGTATCACTGAATTACTATCACTTGCCCACCCTTATAAATTGCCCACCCTTGTTTATTTTACCCTAAAAGGAATTTATTTTCTTCTACTACATTTTCATGCTGAAAGAAACTGCAGTGCAGCAGTTTTTTTTCTTTGTAAATACTACTTCAGGGTTTTCCAATTTGAATGCAAATTTGAGAGTGGTTTTATGTTAATTATGAGTAGTATTTTCACTGCTAGATAAAACAATGAGAATTTTCATGGATTCTCTGTTTAATGGTAGTATATTTTTATTTTAAAGCATCAACATGCTCAAGTTACCTGAATATCCAAGTAAAGAAATACTCAAGGACAGACTTCTTGTGGCACTACATTGTGGCAGCTATGGTTACACAATGGCATAATGGAGTCCAGAAGACCCATCTGACTACTGATGCACAATTCAGAGTGGCAGAATCAATTTAGAAAACTGTCAACAGAAAAGCAGCCTAAATGCAACCCATAGGCAGGGCTGATGCTTAAAATTTATAAAGGATCAAGTTTTCTGTTTTCTTTCTCTTTTCCCATTTATGTTTTCTCTGTGATACAGTTTGAGAATATAAAAATCACAGTAGACTTCATTTTAAAAATGTTAATTGAAAGTAGAAACTTTTTTTTTCCTATTTCTTTAATCTGATTTAAGATTTTGTTAAGGCAAAATCTTATTCTACATTCCACATCTGCTATGTAACTGTACTGTTAAAAGGGTATTTTCTCTTATTTTCTTATATATTAAATTATATGAGGACATCCAACTGGTATGTTCTATTGCATGTAAAGTGCCATTTATATTTTGGAAAACTATTGTATAGAATGGATTAATTTAGATTGTGTATAAAGTTACAAATATGTATTTTCCCACGTTGTATCTATATTGCAATGATTTTTTTTAGCTTTTTAGTATTTTAATATATAATATAAAATTTAGGCTGATTAATAACAAACAGCTGATGAAATTAAATCTGATTTATATATTAGAGCTTAGACTATATTATGAATTATTTGCATTTTTCCATGGTCAGTTTTCACATGTACAATATTGTGGCTTTGAAGTTTTTCTTATGCCTTATTTTAATTTGTAATGAAGGTAAAATTAAAATATAGTATTTTACTGTATTTCTTTACGTTTGTCTATAAACTCTGATGACATATTTGAAGAAGTAATCTGTTCTGTAGATTACAATTTAAGTATGTAATGTTTTATTTCTTAAGTTTGCTTTTTGTAATTGAAATGTTTTGCTCAAATGAAATGCCTAAATACAGAACATTGGGTTTTTGAATTTTTGGATGATCCAGTCAATTTGTTTGTGTATTTATTTATTTTGGAAAAGCCACACAGGATAAGCACATGCATTTAACATGAGGCAGGCATGTTCCAACGTTGTATACTGATGGAGCACCTTGCTTCTGGCAACTAAAAATATCCAGTTATGTTATTGTTGATGAGCAGCCAGTGTATTTGTTCAGTGACATTTAATCAAGAGATTTATACACTGAAAGTAACAAAAACATGACCCAAAACAATATAAAAATTTTTCTTTATTATCTGGGGTTTTGTTACTTTTTTAATATTAAGAAAATAATCTCCCAAGAAATTACATGAAATATTAGGAATTCTTTAAAAACTAATCTAGTTTTGAAAGTCTTAATTGTTTTTTGTTTGTGATTCTAGAATCTAACAGTTCTCAGCACCAGGATGAGTTCAGAGAACTACAGTCTCCTGTGTAGTTGAAAAGCATTAATGGATAGAAAATGAAAATGAGGTACAGAGATAGCCCTATTGGTTATAGCTCAGCATTGGCCTGTTTGAACGTGGTTAAAACATTTGACTGCTTGCAGGTTGACTGAAGCCTGTCTGCTGTATTGGCTGAGACTTAGCTATTTGTTATGAGAATATACTCCTAAATGATGTTTTCAATTTGTTATATAAAGGTCCAAATAAGAGACTTCATCAGGCCAAATTAAGTTTAATGATTTCTCCCTTTTGGTTGTCCTCCCAATTTTGAGAGATTGACTAAAACTTTGGACTTTGGCACCATTCTCTGCCACCGTTATAAATAGACTTAGTTGGTCTCAATATGGAATTCACATGTGAAAGTGTCACTTCACTTGCATAATTCTTTATGTTCTTGCTGGTCTAGTTGAAGTGAGATCATTCAACACTCAATGAATGACTGCATACAAACATTTAAGGTTTGAGTGGAGATATGGTGCCCCGGGGGATTTTATGATGACTACCAGGAGAATAATCCCAAAAGATTGAAGTGTACTTCTGAACAAGAGCCTCTATAAACTGAAATAATCAAAATTAATCAAACTTCAGGCAGTGTAAATATAGTTTAACACTATTCAAGTCCAGTTGATCTATAGTGTTGTATTTGGCCTATGTTGTTGGTGAATACCATAGTTTGGTATAGAATGGTCTGGTTTAATGAAGTATCCAATTGTGTTGTTAGCCTATCATTGCAATTAGTAGTGATCAGGAGACTCAATAGACATAAAAGGTAGGAAACCCTGGAAAAAACCAGGATTTTTGCCATCTGCCACTTAGGTTGCCTGAAAACCATCTGTTAGCTGCTTTTGTAAACACATCACACATTCTATTCGTTTGAAAATTTCCTTAATGTGTTTTGTGGCAGTGTCAATAGTAATATCAGCCACCTTTTAAATTGCTTTAGTAGCAAAATTGGGAAAGATAGGTATGACATTTAGGCTTGTAAAATCCCATACGTGAACTTCCACTCAGCAAAAAGGAGATCTAAAGTTGCATGATATTCCATTAAGTTTTTTTTTGTTGTTATTGTTGATGATGGGGATTGAACTGAGGGTCTTGTGTGTGCTAAGCCTGCATTCTATATCTGAGTTAATGTCCCTAGCCCAATTAAGTATTTTAGAACACATGTTATCATATATTTTTTAGAGGGTGACTTAAAGATTTTTAAAAATTTTTATTTTTTTGAGATGGAGCCTTGCTAAATTGCCCAGGCTTTCTCCAATTCGGGATCCTTCTCCCTCAGTCTTCTGAATATCTGGGATAAAAGGTGTGTTCCATGGGCTGGGGTTGTGGCTTAGCAGTAGAGTGCTTGCCTCGCACGTGTGAGACCCTGGGTTTGAGCCTCAGCACCACATAAAAATAAATAAGTGAAATAAAGGTATTGTGTCTACACAACTACAACTAAAAAAAAAAAAAAAAAAGCATGTTCCAGCCCCACTGGTTTTTGGTGGGTGACTTGATTTATCTACACCTCTGGGAATGTCTGGTTGGCCACAAAATGCAAGATTTTCTCCCAATCAAATTAGTTTCAGGTTTAATACTACTGGTACCCCACTAGTGCCAAGAGTGAGCCCTCTAGGAACCCCAGTGGGAACCTTCCCTTAGTAGAGAGGCTTATGTTCATGAGCCTCAACAATGGCTCTAAGAGGGCTCCTGTCCTTTAAATGAGAGCAATTATCATGGCTCCTGCTTTCATCATAACAAAAATCAGGGCTCCAGGGTTCCCAGAGAGCTCTCAATTCTGCTTTTAGGACACAAGAATGCCATCCATAAAAACCTGGAGATACAGCAGGAGGCAGAGCTTACAGAGTGCTGTAACCCTGGGGCACCTGACATAATTTGGATGTATTCAAAGGAAATATGTATGGTTTGTCTTTTTTCAATATTGCGGGGTTGGGGGAGTCCATCTGCCACTTTCTACACTCTAGCCCTGCAGAGACTGGCAGGAGAATCGGGTTGGAGCTGGGTGTGGTGGGGTGGTGGTGAAAGTCCAGTGAGGAAGGGCAGCCTGGTGCTACCTCTGCCCCACCCAGCACCATCCCTGCTGCAGCAGCTCTGCTGAGCTCTTGAGGTTGCTTTGGGAACATCTTCAGTTCACACTTAACCCCATGGTGGTCACTTCCCTTTATATAGTGGCAGGAAAGAAATGTCCACTTTGGCTACAGTAGCCGGGCAGTAAAGTCTGAGTTGTGACATGATTCCTTACACTAAATTCACCAAAGCATAACCTCAGAGGATATTAAGCAAGATTCCTCGTTTTTTGCATTAGACTCAATTTCTCTGCAATTTTGACACCACCAAAATCCTAAGCTTGGGTCCATCGAGATAGTCATGATGAATTGGATCACTAGAAACATCTACATCTGTCTCTTCCTGGTGGCAGTGGGTCTTAGGTGTGTCAGTCCTGAGTGGAAACCTCCCTCTCCTGGAGTCCCAAAAATGTTTTCCAAAGCATTCTTTTAAAATGCCATCTCTCTCAGAAGTGCCCTCTGCTATATTTTCCTTTATGAAAAAATGGGAAAGTAGTTTTGAAATCCCACATTACCTATCAGGAGAGTTATACAAGATGTGAACCAGATGCCAAGTGTGCAAGGATGTCACCAATGCCTGTGCCTGCAACCCACCTGCAGGGAACAGACAGAAGCCACTGCCCCCAAACTGGGCCATCTGTTCACCTGACCTTCTGAAACAGGAGAGAATGCAGTGAAGTGTTTTTTTTTTTTTTTTTTTTTTTTTTTTTTTTTTAAGGCATCTCTTATTTTGGTTTGGGGTTTTTCCATATTTTATATATATATAATATGATCAAGAGAATTCCAAAAGTTTTGGTTAACAGGAAATAAAAATGGAAGTGGAAATAAAGAATGGAATGAAACTCAGCTCTCCCCAGATGGAACACATATGGGCATCACAACCTATTGAAACAGCTACACTTTTCCCTGCTGGGAAGACACCTGTGGCTGGAAGATCTTAAAGCTCACTTTTTCTGTCCCAGGGACTTTTCCAAGCTTTTTTTTCAGACACACTGACAGTGGAGGAAGAGCCGTCCTCCGCCCTCCCTGGTTCAAACGGTTGCCATTGTTCTTTTGCTCTGGTTTTCTTTTTATTTTCTCATCAAATCGAGACTTTCGGGAAACTCTGGAAATATACTCCTTTTAAAGCAGCAAACCAGGAAATATATTCCTTTTAAAAGATAATTTGAAAATTAAAAAACAAAACCGAATATCTCAATAATTGCAAGATGCAGTGACTTTTTCCCCAGGCCGGGCTTAGAGGTATCCCTAGGTCTGACTCTGGGGCTAGAATGATAAGCAAGGCTTATCAGGGCAATGTCGCCCAAATTGCCCAGGGTGGTCTGGGGACCAAGTCAGCTGAGAAGCTGGCTCAACCCCAAGCCCTCCTTCTGAGTCAGCATTCATCCGAGAGGCAATCGCTGCCCAGGAACTCTGTGGCCTCAAGCTCCACGCTGGACAGGAACCTCCTCAGCATCTTGTGGCAGTTGTAATCCAGGGTGGTGGTGTAGATGGTCTTGGGGTACTTCGGGTAGACAATGGTGGTGCTTAGGAAGCGGGTGGGCTTGTGGCGGGGCTCAAAGCGCACCTCAGCCTTGTAGTTGCGCTCTGTGCCATTGGGGATGCAGGTGACTGGCTGCAGGAGGCCACTGCCAGGCCCAGTGGCAGCTGCACATCATCAATGAAGTGTCGCTCCGAGTCATACTTGACTGAGGAAGTGTACCTTACTTCTGTTGATGGTAAGGAGTCAAACTCCACACCTTCGCCAAAGGACAGGGGGCACAGCTTTGGTGAGGAGCTTACAGCCAGGGTGTTGGGGAGAGAGGCTGGGTTCGGGGCCGCTGGGGTCACCACCGCATCGGGCTCCTGCGTCCCGGGGACCGGCGAGCGCTCCCCGCCGCCGCCGCCATCCCGGCCACCGCCAGCCCCCAGTGGCTGGGGCTGGGGGGCAGCCCCGAATCCGGCTTGTCTAGGACGTTGTCTCCCCTCTTCTTCGTGTCCACGAGCTCGGGCACAGCCTGCAGGCTCAGCCGACCCACCATGGCTGTGTGCGTGGCGGGCTCGGGAGTACACGGCGTGGGGGTCGCGGATGAGAGAGGGACTAGAGGGGCTCACAGGCGGGCTGGGGCGCTGCCCTTAGGGCCGTCCTCCCTGCCCGGCCGCCCCGCATCGTCGGGGTCTCGCCCGCAAGTATCTAGGTTTTAGATCATGAAGGATTTGATTGTCCTCCATTGTTGACTCACAAAAAGCTCCCTTTACCTGGTTAAAATACCCCTGGGCATCATGCATTAAAGCCTGGCATCATTTATTTATTCATAGGAGTCTAGGAGAGTGGGGAAAGAGGAGATCCTGTTATCTTGGGCATAGGCTTCCCAGTGCCTGTTTCAAAAAGGGATGGACTTTTGTTTTCCACAGTGGGGTCATCCTACAATACCTTTGGCCAGGGCAATTCAGTTGATTCAGTTGGCTTTGCCTAGGGCTATTGTAATATTTTACT